TAATTGTGGTGGTACTAATTTAAATGGTGCTGTTGAAAACACAGTAAGATATACTGGTTGATATCACATGGGATGGAATGAATGTCAGTAGTGGATCAATCAGTCAATCAACCACTGGAGATCAAATGTATCAGTGTGTAGTGCAAGTTACTGATCAACCTACTAGAATACGTAATGTAACTATAAAAGGTAATGTCAATGAATGCATAATTCATATTACTAATAATATTAGTACCAGCAACTGCTCCCTCTTCTCTTACTGAGGTTAGCCAGACAGCTACCACTATCACTGTCAGTTGGACTGCACTTGATTCATCTGATGCTGATGGATATGTAGTCAATGTCACTAGTGACACAGACACTGTGCAGACAGTACAGGTGGAGGGAAGTAGTAATAATACAATCACACTGAATGGACTGAGAGAACTAACAACTTATAGCATCACAGTCAGAGCCTATCAACAATTACTGGGACCTGCTAGTACAATCAGTGCTTTCACTCATTGTCAGCAAGAAGGTATTTTAATTTAATATAAATTATTATTAATTTAGTATTGTTTTATAGGTATTTATTTAGGATATAATGGAAACTGTTATACTAATGGATCATATTTTTGGGATACTAATATCAATGGAGTTACTGGAGCTATATCATGTGTGTTACCTGGTGCTAGTCTAACTACTGGTCAGTGGGTTAGAGTTGCTGATCCTAATGATGATCCTGTTGACTGTAACGGTGACAGTGCCAGTGATCCTTTTCGTTGTACTAAAGTCACTTCACCTGATGCTACTATCAATCTTTATCGTACTCGGGGACTAACAGAAACTACAGAAGGCTGGTACAAGTGTTGTCTACCCACTGATTGTTCAGATTCTAACACTAACATCATCTTTGCTAATATATTCAGTAAGAGGAGACTATAATTACTTACTGATGTAATAATTTTCATTTGTAGGATTTGCAGAGATAGAATCATTTACTGTTGCTGATCTTCCTTCTGATATGACAGTATATCCTCAGGAATACAAACTGAATTGTACTAAAATTGGATTCCGTCAGTATAGTATTAGTATGAGCATTGGTGGTACTACACTGACTAATTACCCTGGATCATTTTGTAATGATGGTAGTAATAGTTGTTCTGGTACTGTGTTAGTTAGTAGTAGCAACACAATAAGATATACTGTTACTATCACATGGGATGGAATGACTGTCAGTAGTGGATCAATCAGTCAATCAACCACTGGAGATCAAATGTATCAGTGCAGGGTAGCAGATCATCCTGGTGCTGCTGCAATTAGATTACGCAACATAACTATAAAAGGTAATGCCAATAAATCCTAATAATTCTTATTACCAATAATATTAGTACCAGCAACTGCCCCCTCTCCTCCTACTGAGGTTAACAAGACAGCTACCACTATCACTGTCAATTGGACTGCACTTGATTCATCTGATGCTGATGGATATGTAGTCAATGTCACTAGTGACACAGACACTGTGCAGACAGTACAGGTGGAGGGAAGTAGTAATAATACAATCACACTGAATGGACTGAGAGGAAGAACAACTTATAGCATCACAGTCAGAGCCTATCAACAATTACTGGGACCTGCTAGTACAATCAGTGTACAGACCTTACCAGGTATTGCTACTGCACCTTTTAATGTACTTGTAACATTGTTGATGTATTTCTAGTTATTAATTCAATCAATTGGACACTAGTCTC